TCGTTAATCGAACTGAAAATCCTTATGGGAGCTAATTCGTTAACCGAAATTTTGTAAATTGGACCGTTCGTTAATCGAGGGACCACTGTACTGTATACAGTATAGGCCAGTACAAACAGAATAAGTGTCACATTGGGCATTACTTTTTAATGATAAGCCAATGAGATAAAGTACTTAATGTTGACCTTAGGATATGTCCAAATACCCATATCCTATGGCCTCAAAATCTTAAATATTTCAAATTAACCCCCCCCCCCAGCTGTACAGGCTCACTTTTCTCACTATAAAATCTTCCAGGTGCTATTTTGGATTTAAAAAAAAACCCTGAGCTGGCAACCCTATGTGTATATAACCAAGTTAAAAAAAAATATATTTTCTCAAAATTATAAGCTAAAAAATAATTTTTCCATATGATTTTTTATTTTTTACTTTCTCTATATAAGAATGAGTGTGTAAACACTAGTTTGATTTCTTAAATTTTAACGTGTCTTTTTTCTCAATTTTTCAGATGGGGATGAAGTGATCCAATCAGGGATACGAATGGATTTGATATCCAGTGCCATTAACAAAAATAACAAACTCAAGCTTCCATGTGCTAAGTCTACTGATCCAGGCAGGTGAGACATAGTACAGTAGCTTTATTTAATTGCTGAGGTCCTTCACTTGGAGACTCTTGAATTACAGCCATGAGTCCTGGTTTATAAACCCTTGGTTAAGTATTAGGCATAATAGACTAGGACATTCTTAAATTAATTATGCTTACCCTTCACAACCAAGTCCCAAAAGGGATCTTCAGAAGCAACAGTTCACCACGGAATGAAATAATTACGGCGAGTTGTTAGTGCTGTTGCGTAGTGTATGTGGCCAGTTGCCAAATTTCTCTTTGTTAGGTTCACATACATAACGTACAAGTAGGAAATCTGAGTAGGAAATCTCGCACTAAGGATGGAGGTGAGAAGGAAAACTCACAATGGCGTTTTATATACAATTTATTATATGTACAATGCAGTGCTAGGGAGTTGCTGAGTGGTGAGGAGCTTGTTGAAAGGTCTTATCTGTTTGAGAGCATTGAGTAGAATCCTCTTCACGACGAGGCTGGGGGTATTTATACGATTCTGCCGGAAGTGAGCGGCGCTGCTGATTGGCTGAGGTGAAAGGCGGTAACTGGCCAATCACCGCGCAGTCCGAAAGCGAGGCTTGGTCTGTGGAACTCGCCGTGGGGTTGGCCGGTAAGCGACGGTCTGTGGAACTCGCAACAGGTCGGCTGGTAAGCGACAAATCGGCAGTTGTAGGGGAGAGTATCCACAACAGTACCATGGTAATCTTTATCTAGTTCAGCCACAGTAGAGTTGTCAGGTGTACCGCTCTTTAGGTTAAAGGGTTCATTTCATACTGCCCAAATGGCTCCCCAGCAACTGAATCTCCCTTACCTTAGGTGGAATAGAGGGATAAATCCTTTTACCTTTGTATTCATCACCAGAGAAGTCTTGAACTGATCCACACAGTTCTCCATGTTCATAGATTAATCTTAGGTTTTTGCCTTTGTGTGCACTGCATAGGAATGACTGAATAACTCTGTTAAGCTGATTTGGACCCAATGTGTCAGTTTAGGGGAACTGACAGGTACCTGCACCATGTTAAAGAGAAATGCCATTTTTCTGGAGAGCAATCCAGTCAGTTTTATTTGATGGTTTGCTATTTTTTAACTGGTCTCATGTTTAACTTAATTTTTTTTTTAAAGAAATTTACTGGCATGTGCTGTCAAGAAGTACTTACTATCTCACAAGAGAAGGGGTTGCGGGGGGCTACACCTCAGGACTGAACGGACTTGTAATGAATACTTTTATCTCCTAATGAAGTTTTATTATAAATTTTCCCTAGTTCTAGTAGTAAAACATGGGAATTTATTCCAAAGAATCTACTAAGGTTGGATTGAGGTTTTTTTGTCTACTGAGGAATATTAAGTTTGCAACGTGTTTTCCCAAAAAATCTGATAACAATCTCTACCACGTGTGCTTTCACTGAGTGGGAGTCCCACATGTAAAGCAGCTCCAAGGCTATATATATCCAAGATTATGCACCCCAGGATGTATTTCATAGTTAATTTAATTCCTTCAATTGAAATTACTTTCAATGGGTCACCGTAGATTGTTTGACTGTAACACTTTCATCATGAATCCCTTTGATAGTATTAGCTTGTTTCTTTTACTTTAGTGATGGAAACTTGCTCTCTGATGCTACAAGCAGTTTTTTTTTCAGTATGTGGAGTTAGGTTGTTTGGACGTGGGCAATATAGAGTGGGTGGGCATAAGGTTGCTTGGTTGTGGGGTAATATAGAGTGGGTGGGCATAAGGTTGTTTGGTTGTGGGGTATTATAGAGTGGGTGGGCATAAGGTTGTTTGGTTGTGGGGTAATATAGAGTGGGTGGGCATTAGGTTGTTTGGACGTGGGTAATATAGAGTGGGTGGGCATAAGGTTGTTTGGATGTGGGTAATATAGAGTGGGTGGGCATAAGGTTGTTTGGTTGTGGGTAATATAGAGGTTGTTTTGGTTGTGGGGTAATATAGGTGGGTGGGCATAAGGTTGTTTGATTGTGGTAATATAAGTGGGTGGGCACATAAGGTTGTTTGGATGTGGGTAATATAGAGTGGGTGGGCATTTGTTTGGTTGTAGGGTAATATATATTGGTTGTTTGGTTGTGGGTAATATAGGTGGGTGGGCATTAGGTTGTTTTGGATATGTATAAGTGGGTGGGCATTAGGTTGTTTGGTTGTGGGTAATATAGGGTGGGCATAAGGTTGTTTGGTTAGGGTAATATAGAGTGGGTGGGCATAAGGTTGTTTGGTTGTGGGTAATATAGAGTGGGTGGGCATAAGGTTGTTTGGTTGTGGGTAATATAGAGTGGGTGGGCATATGGTTGTTTGGTTGTGAGTAATATAGAGTGGGTGGGCATTATGTTGTTTGGTTGTGGGTAATATAGAGTGGGAGGGCATTAGGTTGTTTGGATGTGGGTAATATAGAGTGAGTGGACCTGGCTCTATAATATAGTGATTTCCTTAGTACAATACCTGTATGTTGGCCTGTTTGGGCAGGTGTTCTTAAGGTTATATTCTGTGTATTATAATACTGCACTAATTAAATGTATAGCATTATATTCAATATATAATTTCATATAATTAAGTTTATAATTATTTTTTGGCATTTGAGTAAATATTTACATACTGTACTGTACTATAGATGTGTTATATGTTTTTCATATGTGAGTTGGATATCCAAGTATTAATTACAGTACTGTATATGGAAGGTGTTCTTTGGGTTTGTTTTGACTTGCAACATGTTGTTATGGCATCCAGTTAAGATAATATTTGTTGCTTTGTTCCATTATTAAAGAATAGTCTCTCATATTGGCTTAAAGACCTTAGATGTTGAAGCACATAATACATAACAACTGAAATTAAACATTATTGTTTGTAATTGTGGGAATTCTTAAGGATGTACCGTGTCAATGAGTTTTGTTGCCTAGGTAACATGATCAGTGCAGGAGGTGGTGCTGACCCCAGCACAGTTGCAAGAGCCAGAAGTGGTTGGAGGAAGTTTAGGGAGTTGCTGCCTTTATTTACAACATGAGGACCTTCCCACAGTGTGAAAAAAGAGATAGATGTATGCAATTTTTTTATTTTTTTATGGGGATTAGCCCACCCGAGCACAGGTCACTGACCCACATCGGGGTCTGGGGTGCGAAAATGTAATAATAATAAAAATTATAATTAGTTCATAGTAAATAAAATTTATAATAAAAAATAAAAAATTAAACAAAATAATAATAACACTGATAATGATGATAATAATAATAATAATAAAAATTATAATAATAATTGAAATTATAATAATCATAAAAATTATAATAATAATAAAAAACTGGCACGAGAAGTGTGATATTGTAGGACATTGAAACATGAGCAGTTATAGATAATGACATGTAGGCTTGAGTGAATTGAAATGAGAATGGTGAGGTGGATGCGCAATGTGACACTGAAAGAACAGGAAACCTTGTTCAGAGCCAAGAGAGTTTTGCATAGAGGTAAGCTGAGTTGGGCATGTGGAAAGAATAGATGAGACCAGCTGGGTCAAGAGATGCAGGAATCTAAATATGGAGAGGAGGAGAGCCAGGAGCAGGGCATGAATGACATGGAGAGAGGTTGTAAGAAATGACTTAAGAGTTAGGAACTTGACAAGAGAGGTTTCAAGAGACCATGCAGCATGGAGAGGTGTTATCAGGTAACTGCGAGTAACCCACATAATTGTCAGAAATGGCCTTAAAATGTTGTTGATGGCGATGATGAAATACACAGCACTGTACAGGTTAATTGTTTGATATCTCTTCACATAAAGCATTTTCATACTTTTAGTGTTAGTTGAATGAGATACACTGTATTTAGATGTGTTTACGATAGTTTATACTGTATGTCATAATGAAGATTTACCATTCATAGTCTGGGACTTGGAGTAAGCAGTTTTTTTCCTTCTTACAATTTTTGAATATGGTTAAAAAATGAAGAAAGTAAACTAAAATAATGTTTGTATGCAAAGATCTCTGATACCAGGATAGATGGACCATTATAGTATACCTGTACTGTATTGCAATACAGTAAAGCCTCGAATAACGACGTTAATGTGTCCTCCAATATTGCAGTGCAAGGTGAATCATCGTATCATGAATCATTAATTAACATTAAAATAATGCAATAATAATGAGTTGTGTTCCCCAGTGTGACCTTTTTATATCTTTTGTGTGGATTTTTATCCTCTTTATCCCCAAAACAATACAATTAATGAAAAATGCAAACTATATTCTTTAAATAATGTTTATGAATGCACCTTATACATATACAATAAATCAATAATAATATCCCACAAGAGGAGATGGGACGCTATTGTTGTTGTCAGTGTTTACACCCATAATGTTAGTTATCCATCTGAAACAAGAAAATAAAACCTTGGTTATTGCTATAGTAAAATTAATGTAAAAAAGTGTGTGTTTTAATTAATGTTATTTAATGTACAGTAAAAGTAACCATTGATGTTAAAAAGGAAAAAAAGAGTGATAGTGGAACGGCAATGTATACTTGCTCCCTCAAGGAAACCGCGTCTTTTATCTTATTAAGAATATGTACAAAAGATAAATTATTGTTTATTGCTGCATATGTATTTGATTGAATTTATGTTTATATACAGTCAACCCTCACTTTACGCGGTCCCACATTCCGCGTTTCCACGTTTACGCGGTGCCCTGCCGGAACCCAGGATGCTCATATTCCGCGGTGCGTGTACCCCTTTACGCGGAAAGCGGCTGGCGAGCCGTTCCATTTTTGGATCCAAACCTCCCGCCATCTCTCCCGCCATGTTGTGTAAGCGGCGCGAGCATGGTGCGCACAAGGTCGCCCAGTCATCAAAACATTACCAGTTCTTCACCTGCCACCCACCACAGCCGGCCCAAGTCAGTGATAGTGATAATTTTAGTGAGGATATGGACTTTGAGGGGTTTGACAAAGAGGCCCTGCAAGCCTCTGTGGTGGATAGTGATACAATTGATACGAGTGATACAGGTGAGGGCCAATAATCTGCCCTCTGCCTTGGAACCAACCTCCCATCCCCGTGTGCCCAGCCATCTTTTCTACTAATGTACGTGTTAAAAAACCTAATATTATTTATATTTCTCTTAATTATTAATTGTGTGTGCATACCATCATAAAGTTAAGATAATATTTTTACTACAACATAGTTGTGTGTCGTCAAAAAGTGGAGTCTGGGGGTCGGCCCGGTCTCTATTTCAATTAATCCCATATGTTATGTTGTTCACTTTACGCGTTTCTCACTTTCCGCGGTACCTGTGGGTTATATTAACCGCGTAAGGTGAGGGTTGATTGTATGCAAAATGAACATTGCAATTCATTAATGACATGTAGAATATTAAAACACAAGAGGAGATGAGACGGCATTGTTTTCGTTCATGTTTACAACACCCGTGACGAATGACGATGGTTCTACTTCTAAAAAAACATAAGAAACTGAAGAAATAAGAACCTGGTTGTTGCTGTAGTAAACTTAATGTAAAAAAATTAATATGTATATATTAAGTACAGTTAACCCTCACTTTACGCGGTCCCGCATTCTGCGTTTCCACGTTTACGCGGTGCCCTGCCGGAACCCAGGATGCTCACATTCCGCGGTGCGTGTACCCCTTTACGCGGAGAGTGGCTGGCGAGCCGCGCCATTTTTGGATCCAAACCTCCCGCCATCCGCCATGTTGTGTAAGCTGCGCGAACATGGTGCGCACAAGGTCGCCCAGTCATCAAAACATTACCAGTTCTTCACCCGCCACCCACCACAGCCAGCCCAAGTCAGTGATAGTGATAATTATGGTGAGGATATGGACTTATATGGACTTTGGGGAGTTTGACAAAGAGGCCCTGCAAGCCTCTGTGGTGGATAGTGATACAATTGATACAAGTGACACAGGTGAGGGCCAATAATCTGCCCTCTGCCTCGGAACCAACCGCCCATCCCCGTGTGCCCAGCCATTTTTTCTACTAATGTAAGTGTTAAAAACCTAATATTATTGATATTTCTCTTAATTATTAATTGTGTGTGCATACCATCATAAAGTTAAAATAATATTTTTACTACAACATAGTTGTGTGTAGTCAAAAAGTGGAGTTTGGGGATCGGCCCGGACTCCATTTCAATTAATCCCATATGTTATGTTATTCACTTTACGCGTTTCTCACTTTACGCGGGACCCTCCGGGTTACATTAACCGTGTAAAGTGAGGGTTAACTATAATGTTTATTCTGAACCCTCCACCCAGCACTACGAACCACGCCATCTATTGTCTTGATCTACCTACCCAGCACCACGAACAACGCCATCTAGGGACGAAACACGAGTATGACTCGTCTTAGTTACCACTCCCGGGTTTCCCTTCTCCATATCCTGGTTGTTGCGTCACCTCCTCAAAGTCTTCTTTGTCAGCTCCAGTTCGAGGAGAGAGCAGTACACTCTGGGAAGTGACCACAGGACCACCTATCCTGGAAACCTACGGCACAGTGACTACCTACCGTCTTCTACAATACTCAGCCTTACTCGTCAGCCATCTCAGCTCCGCACTTAAGTATTTGTAATCTTATATTGCCTCCCCGCGTCCACTTGCTTCAAAATTGTTGTATGTTGTATAAATATGTATATACTGTTAATGTTTAGGTTAAGTATGGTTAAGGGTAAATTATAGAAAGCTGAATATTTTGTTAAGGAATTTATGGTACTTTATTATACACAACAAAAACTTGCATCCTTTGTCTACCCTTTTATAGTCCGATTGTCTTTGTTTTTTTATTGTTGTTACCTGTTGGGATCTGGGTAGACTTTTAACTATATTCTAAATCCCCAACTCGTAACAAATGGCGACCGTGACAGGACCCGACCTTAAGTACCATATTCCTTCCTCCCTTGTAACTCCTTGTTAATTATTCCTCCCAGTCACTTCTGTTCACAATTGCTTTACGGTGGTTTAAAGTTTCCTTCATATGTGTGTGCATATATTGGTATTATCGTATAGTAAGAGTGACAGACGTAGGATATTAGGTTCCAAGTGTCATAAGGCTTACCTGTTATTACACGTGGCAGTTGTGTAGTAAGTCTTATCGAGTGTTGGGAAGAATCCGGATCTGTTTAATGCCGTACCCTCACTCCAGAGTAGGTTGTTCCATAGTCACTAGTTTACGGTGAAGTGATATCTTGGGGCATACGGCTCTACCAGGACCCCATAATTATAGCCTCAATTATTGTTCTTCTATTATCTCATTCAGGGTCCAATCATACCATTTATCAGGGGTTGTTAATCGGATCTTTATATTAATACCGTATCGCCCTACCTCTTTCAAGTATATCGGGTTGTTAATCCGGGATCTTTATATTTATCCGTGTCATCCCTACCTCTTTCAAGTCTCTTATCATATCTAAGGATCTTCTCAGAAGAACAATAATCATAAGTGTAATTTCCTAGGTATAACTTGGTTGGTTCGGGACTTTCTGGTTATCCACTGTCGTGATATTTTCTAGGGTAATCCACTTATCTTATCTTTTGACCATTAGTTAATTTATCCTAGTTTTCTTAACAATGGCCACCTCAGGTTTTGATCTCCAGGATTTTATTGAAAATCCTTCCGTAGCTAAATTACGTGTTAATATCCTGAAGAAAGAATGGAAAGGAATAGCCAACTATTACAATATCCCATATTCACAGCAACTGACTAAGGAAATGTTAAAAATTCATGTAATTGAAATGTTGGTTCAACAAGAAGTTTTAAAAGAATCCGCTGTTGACCGATTAACGCCCATGTCCAAGAAACTTCAACCACTATCCACCACCCCTCCTCACTCAGAAGTTGCTTCAGGTCTGGCTAGCCCTCAAGAAAAAACACAAAGAGTAGACGCCTTAGAACTAGAACGAGCTAGGTTCGAGTTCCAAATCAAAATGAAAGAACTCGAGTTGGAACAGACCAAGTTGGAGCAAAAGTTGGAGCATGAGGGAAGGTCGGAACAGGCCAAGTTGGAGCATGAGGAAATGATGGAACGGGCCAAGTTGGAGCAGGAGGTTAGACTGAAAGAACTACAGGTAAGAGAGATAGAAGTCACCTTAACATCGGAGTTCAGATCAAAAGAAGTGGCATTAAGAGTGAAACTA